TCATGACCAAAACAAATTACAATTGGGATCAATCCATGTGGAGCCACATCTCAAAAAAGAGTAGAAACATTTGCCATAAGTCATGAAGTTTTGAGCTACACTAGGTAATGTGTGTATCTATACTACAAGTCCATTTACAATATGACAGCCAGTTTGGTTTAGCGGTTAAAGCACCAACCTACAAAGCAAAAGACTGTAAGTTAAGCTAAGTCCTGCCTTAGCTATGAAAGCCAGCTGGATGACCTTGGGCCAGTCACTTTCTCTCAGCCCAACTCCACAGACTTGTTGTTGTGGGGAAAATGGATGAGGAAGGTATGTTGGGTATGTTTGCACTTTATTTGTAAAAATAATAGAGGCCGGTAGTAAATAAATAAATGTAGGCCATTTCCTCGCTACTAATTGTGTCTTCTGGCATCACCAACCATCAATCGCTGTGGTAATATAAAGTCTGCTTTCATCACTTTAGTACAGCAATGGTTTAGAATAGAATAGAATAGAATAGAATAGAATAGAATAGAATAGAATAGAATAGAATAGAATAGAATAGAATAGAATAGGTCTTCTAGTCCAGCCCCATGTTGAAGCAGGAGAACCTATACCATCTCAGACAAGTGGCTGTCTAGCCGCTTCTTAAAAATCTCCAGTGATGGAGCGCCTATGATTTCTGGAAGCAAGCTGTTCCATTGGTTAATTGTCCTCACTGTTAATTGTCCTCACTGGTTGAACAACATTACAAGATATTATAAATTATTATGAGGAAGTGGCCTTAGTTACCTGAAGGTTAGCATAAACTCCTTTATGGCAGTAAAATATACTAAATAAATATTTGGCAGCTTTTCACGCTCACCAATAATTCTCCTCACCAACTTTATCTCATTTTATTGTAAATTCCTCCAATGAAAAAAATGTTGTCGTTTTTCTAACTCTATTTGAAGCTCCATTCTTAAACCAGCACATTTTAACCATGCTCTTCCCCTGTCTCTTCTTAACTCAGTGCTCCCTGTAACCTAGAGTAGCAAGGCTAGTCAGAAAAATGGCAACTTTGCAGGCAGCACAACATCCCCAAGCTCCCAGATCCCACTGCGCCTCTTAGTGATATTTGACCATATAAACAAAATCATGGGAATTCAGGATACGTCATCTGAGATACTCTGATGGCATTCAGAGATGCTGCTGCATAGATAGCTGATGCAAGTCTCTGTTTGTTAGATTGAGCTGTTGGGATCAGTTGGGTATTGTACCATCCTTTCTACTGCATAACCACCTCACTGGCTGAGCTTTGTGACTCTTTGACCAGGTTAGTGATGGAGTTTTCCAAGCTCATGGTCCTTGGGGATTTCAACCTACCCTTGGAGTGGGGGTCTCCAAGGTGGCTCGGGATTTCATGAATACTATATAAAGGTACTTCAAATGAATGTTGGAAATCCAAATGTAAAGAAGATTTTATCATTTGTGGCGGACATGGGACAAAGCAAAGAAATATTGGAATAGGATTCATATTTTAATACAGAAGATTCTTAAAGTGAATATAAATATAAAACCAGAAACTTTCCTTTTGGGTTTAATGGAAAAAGGCTTGGGGGAAAAAAATTGGAACTTTGATGTTATATATGTTGATGGCAGCAAGATTACTTTATGCACAAAAATGGAAGGACACTTTGATCCCCACAATGGACGAATGGCTGCAATGGTTGATGGAGTTAGCAGAGATTGCTAAATTGACTGCTTTGATAAAAGAAAAGAACACAATTATTTTTGTTTCTACTTGGAAACCACTTCTGGACTTTGTGCTTGAGATGGAAAAAAAATAAAACTTTGATTTTGGGTTTTACTGATTAGATAGATTTGTTGATAATAGAAATGGCTAGTTTATACTATTATCTAAAAGTAAAAAGTTGAGGTTTGATGTTATTATCTTATTTTACTGAACCAAAGGGAGTTGCAAGTCAACATCTTCCCTTCTCTTTTCCCTCCCCTATTTTTCCTATTATTTGTTTTTGTATTTTTGTATTTTATACTATATAAACTAAAAAAAGAAGAATCTAAAAAAAATGGGGGAAATATTAGAAATAGAATTTCAAGACCACAATGACAGCCAGGTCATCAAGGCCCGACATATGACAGTGGTCATACGTTAAATCTGCTTTTCCTGCAGGAGCAATTGCAAGGTGATCTGAAGTTAAGGTGACTGCTATCATTTCTCAGTCATGATCTGGTATCTCTCTGTTACTCCTGGAGTTCTCTGGTGCTTGCCCTGCCTCTCCCTGCTTCAGGGAGACTAGACCTACTCAAGTGCATCCAGTAAGGTTCTAAAGAAGCTTGAGGTGGTCTCTTGATAGCTACTTGGAATGCAAATGATATGGAGGCTCTGGATTGGCGTTCAATTATGCACCCTCTCTCTTCCATAGATTTCAAAATTCCCCTTAGTTAACCCGAGGAACTGAGGAAAATAAAATGGTTGAAGAGATGCTGAAAAGATCATTGGCAGTTCCCTCCTTCCCATCCAGGACATAGCACAGAAGTGTTGCTTGAGCAGGGTCCGTAAGATTATCTGGGACACTACAATCCTCTTCACGACCTGTTTTCCTTGTTACCTTCTGGGAGGAGGCTTCGTGGTATCCGAAGCAGAACATCCAGATTCAGCCAGAGTTTCATTCCATACAGCATTAAACTTGTGAACCCTCAAGCTTCCTCCTTGTGTTATATATTCAAGATGGACAGTGTTTAACATTTATTTGTTATGTGTATGTAGGGGTGTGGGTCTATACCAGGGGTAGGCAACCTTGGCTCTTTTATGACTTGTGGACTTCAACTCCCAGAATTTTTGAGCCAGCCATGCTGAGGGGACAGGAAGAGGTTTCCAAGCTGAGCCACACTGGCTCAGGAATTCTGGGAGTTGAAGTCCACAAGTCATAAAAGAGCCAAGGTTGCCTACCCCTGGTCTATACATATGTTGTATATGTTTAGGTGTGTGTGTCACTTGGAGGGCAGGCAACTAAATTTCATTTTGGATGTGTGCTGTTGCTAAAAAAATGACAATAAAGCTTATCTTGTCTTATCTCATGAGTGCCACTGAAGGACAACAAAGAAGGACAAGGAAGAGTGAACCCAAGCAAATACAAGCCAAAGCCACTATTAAGGCCTACCTAAGAGTGCTAAAACTGGCAATGTTTCTCCATACTTATTATATCAGTGGATAGTCATTCAGATGTTCTGTTCAAGGTAATCTGGGCTCTCCTGGGGAGATTATTCCATCTGAGGCATCCAGGAGATTCAATGAAGGTTCATTGAATCTGTGTCTGGAGATTGTGGGGGGTTGAATAGCGCTGAATAGGTTTCAACTCTAGCTTACCGAGACTGCCCAATTCTGGAGAATTTCCATTTCCTGTTCTATGTAAGATTGCACAATTCTGAGGTCCTCAGCAACTCACAATTCCTGTTCAATGTCAGTAACCAGAAGAGTGTTTGCAACTGTGCTCTTTCCTGAATCAGGAAATTCTGCTCACTCTTGTCAGGCAAGGTAATCAGAGCATGTGTTGGACCCTGTGAATTAATTTTGTTAAAATATTTGTATTGTGCCCATATCGATTTTTTAAAAAAAAAAACCTTGCAATGCTGATTGTCTATTTTGTACTTTTGTTCTCATCTTTTTTTCTTTGCTTTTTTAAATTGCTGTTAGCTGTTCAGAATCATTTGTTTTGAAACCAGTGGCCGTATAAATTGAATGAATGAATAAATAAATAAATCCAAGCGGAGTGTTTGCAGAGCTATTATGAGAATAGTTGTGCATTCTGAAATTGTACTTAATATATAAATATTGACAATAGCAGCTGTCCTTCAATATATCTGTAACTACCACACTGGAGAAGACAGCAGCAGTTACCTCATATCTTATAGATCCTGCATTAAGCAAGAGGTCGGACTAGATGACCTCCACCATTGGCCTTCCAGTGCTCAGTTCTGTGACCATCTGATCCGAGCCCTCACTGTTGTTTTCCCTAATTACTGATGAAGAAAGAGCCATACTGTAGCTACCCCATCCATCTGGGAACCGTAGCAATGCTTGTCTTCCCTAATCCCGGAGATGCAATGAATTCCAAATTCCATAATCCTGAAATCTGTTTAGAATGATGGGAGTTGATAGTCAAGCAGGAGAATCGGGTATATCAGTAGGCACTCCAGTCGGCCAGGAATCCCTACGAAAAGTTCCGGATGGCTGGTCTTAGAGCTCTTACACCACCCTGCCTTCCTGCGAAGCAACACCCCGGGGACGGGCAGCTTTATTATCCCAGTGCTCCTCGGCTGTTTTTATTGACTGTTAGTACGCCTCCAAAAGGGCGTGCAGATGAAGGAAGGGATCCGCTTTATTTGCAGAGCAACCATTGCCTTGCCTTGCTTTCCCAGCAATATCACCTTGCCGTGGCAGCTGCTTGCTGACTGTAGTAGCAAGGAGCTCGCTTAAACCTGGGGTCAGACCCGCCTTTCTTACCCCACTCTATATTCCCACCAACCCCCGAGCTGAGGCAAATGGATTATGCCGACGGGTTTATGAAAAGGAATGGCAGGGAATGGCGGGGGAGCGGGAAGCAGGCAGGCAGGCAACAGGAACCCCTGTCCGGCGACCGCGGCATTTGTTTGCAGAGCAGAGACGCCTGCGTGCGAATGCCAAAGCCACCAGGAGAGGTTAAAAACTGCAAAATGTCCACGGTGGCAAAGCCGCGCGTGCCACTTCGAAAGCGCGGATCGGGTCCTGCGCGCCCCGGCGGGAAACGCGCCTCCAACGCCAAGGCCACAGTCGAACCGCCGAAGGGTCTGGATGGAAGGTGGGGGGGGTCTTCGTGCAGGGGGCACCGAGGACCGGCCTTTGGGCTCCTCTCATGGCACCCTGGAGCTTCGAAGGAGCCTCACCAAGTCTGGAGAAAGGAGGAGGCACGGCAAGAGGGGAAAATAAATAAACGCCCAGTATTGAGTATCCCGAGGGGGGGAGGGGCAGGCAAGCAGCAATAGCGCCTAATGGTGTGAGAGATAAGCGAGTGATCGGAATGATGGCTCAATTAGAAGCCAAAGGGCCGTTTGCCGGCTGACGGCGAAGCCCGGGCTTTCGATGCAGTCCGGCTTTTCTTGATCCACGCATTTCTCGCTCGGCGCCCGATCCTCCAGCCCGGCCATCCGCGTCAGCGCTGGCAAGCCCCTCGCGTCCGTGTGGATCCGAGGGCATCGGCGATGGCCCACGTGGCCCGGAGCCCGCGAGGACAACGGGGGGGCTTTGGATTCCTTCCAGTTCCGCCTGGCTTGTTTTCCTTGCTTTGCTCCAGGTTTTACTGCTGGTTGCCTGCGAAGCCTTTCGCTCCTCCCTTTTGAAATCCTATATTAGCTGTGGCCAAAGCAGGGTAAGGAACACAGCTCATTGTTGGCAAGGGCTGATGAGAAACTCGCCGAGAAGGGGAAGCCGCGGCTTCGAGTCTGTATGCCCAGCAGCAGCCAGAAGAATTCACCGCCACCCTCCACCCGGTCAAGCACACAGAGGACGAAGCGGACCGTCGCCTGCTCTATGCTGGGCGATTTCTGCTGACTGGGTCCAGCAGCGCGTTGGGAGCGAAGGAAGAAAGCGAGCGAGAGAGCGTGAGGTGAGCGGTGGGCTTTTCTCGCGCTCCCTGCCCGAAGCTCCGGGACGAGGACTGGAGGCACGGGAAGGCATGCCCGAAGCGGCTGGGGAGGGGGGGAGAGGAGAGAGGGAAGAGGCTTCCGCGGGAGCTGGTAATCCACTTATTCTTAGATCGCAAGCGGTCCTTGGCAGACTTTAATTCCCAAAGTTGCTGACAAGGAGAGCGGGAAGGTCGGACAGCGTTCTCCCCATCTGTAGTTCTTATGTAAGGCTTTTCCTGCAACAACACGCGTGGATTGTTTGTTGTTAGCATTATCTCCGTGGACGAGTGTTGCCGATTCGAAAGCTGGAGGAGTAATAAAGGGGACGAAAGCGGGGGGGGGCGGAAAAAAGAAGCCGGGGAGCGCCTAGGTGTGCGCGAGTGGTGACAGAGGAGAGGGTGGCTGCCAACCGGCGATGGTGCCCAAGGCGCCTTCCCCGCTTGCCAGTGCTGGTGAATTGGGAAGAATCTCTCTGGAAAGAGAAAAGGACCGACTGGGTAGAGGAGGGTGGGAAGGGTGGAGACCCAGAGAGGCGACTTCCTGGGGAAGAGAGGGGGGGTACCCAAGCTTCGGGGGGGGCGATGGGGGGGGGCGCAGGCAGGCAGTATAAATGTTGATCCTTTTCTCTGTCAATATTAACTTTCCAAAGGCTGGAAATGGCAGAGCACATGATGGCCATGAACCACGGACGCGTCCCTGATGGAACCAGTGGGCTTCACCACCACCCGGCCCATCGCATGGGAATGGGACCCTTTCCAACCCACCACCACCAGCAGCAGCAGCAGCCACCGCACGCCTTCAGTGCCTTGATGAGCGACCATCTCCATTACGGAGGAGGAAATATGAACACAAACCGTGGCATCAGGCACGCCATGGGGCCAGGGAATGTGAACGGGGGACACCCTCCTGGCAGCATGCCGCCGACCGCGAGGTTTAATAATACCCAATTCATGGCACCGACGGTGGCTCCTCAAGGCGGGCCCTTAACAGCCAGCATGCAGTTGCAGAAGCTGAACAACCAGTACTTCAGTCACCATCCTTACCCTCACAACCACTACATGCCGGATTTACTTCCTGCCAACCATCAGCTCAACGGAGCAACCCAGCATTTTCGGGACTGCAACCCAAAGCACAGCAGCAGTGGGGGGGGCGGGGGCAGCAGCGGTGTGCCAGCTTCCGTGCCCCACGTCCCTGCAGCAATGCTGCCTCCCAATGTCATTGACACTGACTTCATTGACGAGGAGGTCCTGATGTCCTTAGTCGTAGAAATGGGTTTGGATCGCATCAAGGAGCTTCCTGAGCTTTGGCTGGGACAGAACGAGTTTGATTTCATGACAGACTTCGTTTGCAAACAGCAGTCTAGCAGAGTGAGCTGCTGACTTTCGTGTAAAACAAAGGACTTTTTTTTTCCATGTGTATGAATGAAAAAACATTCCCTCTAGAAACAGTATTTCAAAGGCTTGTAGGAGCTTGAACACCTGGGAAGCAGAGTAAACTGTAAACTTGTATAATTTTTCTTATTTTCTGTGTGCTACCACCACTTCTTTATTTTTTTAAGCTTGGCCACCCATTTTTGTCCCCCTGACCTGTAATCATTTTTAACTGAACCTATCATATCCTCAGTGTCTCTTTCTCTGTCTCCTCTGCCTAATTTCTTCCCTGCTAACCTTAACCTGGCAGGTCTTTCAGTGGCTAGATGCAAACATGGGCAAAAAATAATCGTGTCGATATTCTGTGAGTTATGATTTCAAATGAGTAGAACTGCATTCAGATTCTTGAGTTTAAAAAGATTTTTTTTAAAAAAAAAATGCATTAGTTGATTGCGCGAACTTCAAGATAGATTCCTGCGCAAATACTGCCCTCTTCCTTTGTTTTGAACTATGCGTTGGAGTGATGCTAATTTTTAGTCTGCTAAACTGGAAGCTTAGCAAATGTGGGCCAAACCTTCCTTCTTCAGGAAAAATAATACTGTTACTTAAACTCTGCTGACTGTTCCTCTCCCCCATCTGTACAGATAAAAAGTGTGAATGGAATGGCGGTGGGGTCGGTGGGAGGGGACTTTGCTGGCTTTTATTCTGGTTCTATTTTCAACATCCTTTTATTTTGGTAATGTGCTTACATGGTTTATTCAATACATAGGGGGAAAGAACTACTGTGTTGAAAGCTTTTTAGGAAATTTGACAGTATTTTTGTACAATTTTTTTTCTGAGAACATACTTGTTAATTTATTTTATTTTAAGTTGCCAGTGTCCACAAAAAAGTTAAATGCTTTAACTTTTTCCTAGGTATAGTTCCCACTTATTTTTCCTAAACTTATTTTTCTTTCCCACCCCTTCAATTGCCCCTCTCCAAATATTTAGTACATATGACCCTTTTTAACTTGTTGAGCTGTTGGGTTGTGTGAACATTCTGAAGGAGTATTTACTTGACACCATTGTGTGCTATATGTCATGATCAGTGCAGAAGGTAAAAGGATTTAAATCTAATTATGAAATCACAGTCTCATAAGTAACATTGTAACATGCCTGTGTGATTTTATCAAAAGTGGAATTTGCCAAGAGGCAACAACTTGTGATTTGCCAACTTACTTACTATAAATGTAGTTGTCCAGAATTATGATGCATAAAGTATTTATTCTATTTATCTATTAAACTTTAATTTTATAAATACTCTCACAAGTACTCTCAATAACACTTTGTTCTTCGTGCACATGTATTCCTTACTATGTGAAAGGGCTTCATAAAATAAGCATGTAGAAGTTTTTGTTCCATCTTTCTTGCATCATGATAAAAGTGCTCTTAGCCATTTTTTGTTTGTTTGTTTGAAAAACCTACATTGCACTAAAATCATATAAGTTTTCATTATAGAGGAATGAAGAGTAGAACACATTGGTAGGAAATGGTTTGTTAAACAAAATTGAATTGTATTATGGTTTAAAGCTTGGACACAGATATTAGAAGAATAATTTCTGTATTTTCACATGGAGATAGTAAAATATTTAAATCAGTATATTTTATTTCACTTTCTCTTGGTGGGAAAAGAAAGGTGTCCCCTTCTTGCTTTGATCAGTACAAGATCAGGTGTTTAATATTATGTTTAACATGGCTACAGCAATTAAACACTGACCTGATATCTCACTTTCAAAATTATTTTTTAAGTTTTTAGATTTGAGGAAGGCATTTACAGATCTCTCTCTTACACTCAACCAGTTCAAAGCCCAAGTGTCAATTATCATTCTCTAATATTTCTAACCAGAATATAAGGCAGTCTGACAGTATACCAATTGCTATATTAAGTTTCACTGAATTATGTGTACATTAGAGTTTGTATCAAGCTGGAGTATGTTATCTGGTGAAACATCTAAAACTACTTCCTTGAATTTAGCTGTATTTAGTGGATTCCCCAAAGGCAGCATTTTTCATCAGGCTTTATCTATCTTATTCCTATAATATGGACCCTGGCCTTGTCTGTGTTATCCAGAACAATGTTTTGTGTAATGTCACAGAAATGCTGCTTGATACCTATTAGAATGGGATAAATTGTTCTTGGATGATGGATGACTAGCAGTATGCTTTGAGGCAGGGAACTGCATGTGACAACATTTTCATGCCTGATATGCTTTGATCTTAATACTAGAATCATTTCAAAACATTTCTATTGTATATCAACAAAACAAGGAATATGGTGTCAAGGACAATTGAACAAGAAAGCAATATTTTGAGTCACATGTAGTTGGCTTTGCATTTTCTGCTAACTGCATTACTATTATGTTTAAGATTTGTTACGTTTGTGTACAGCATATTATGTAACATACACAGCAAAATTAGAAGCATTGAAATCTTGCAGCAATTTATTTTAAGATATCAGTAATCTGCAGCAGTAACTAAACCTTTATAGAGGTCAAATTTGGATTTTGGCTGATTTGGTCAGGAAAACTGCATACCTGAAGATGTCCAAGAAACTGCAGATCTATAATTACCTAGCCAATTTATTAAATAATGTTGGGATTCAGCTAGCTTTCTAACTAGCTGAAGTACGGTTGAAATAGTACTTGTGAAATAATCAGCTTTGGGATGACATTAGGTACATGTTGTACAAAGTGCTTTAAAATTCTTGAATATAATAGTCACTTTTTTTGCAAAATAAAATATTTCCATTTTAGTTGTTCCATAAATAGGAACAAAATAAGTATATTTTGGGCACCAAAAGCCCCTTTTTTCATTAAAATTGCACAAAACATTCCAATCAATGGCAGATGCTACGAAGAGAGAAATACATCAGCTTTGTAAATCATAGCTTTATTGGGTTTATATTAATTTATCCAGAGTGCACCATGTCTCCCTCACTTCCAAACCACAAGTGTTTGGACATGTCCCATGATCCAAAGCAATGGTTCTGTCCTAGAAAAACATGAAATACATCCCCAGAGATTCCTTTTCATTACAGTCCTCAGTCACTGCAAGATCAATCGTTAACTCTATTCTGCATAAAATTGCTAATCAACATTCTGAAATCCTCTGACTTATTCACTTAGTTTGAATGAAATTGGAACACGATCAAACTGGCAATCTCAAATGTTCCAACTTTTTGGAGGGAGAGGGGGAAACACCTTATCTGACATACTGCATCCCTACTGCTTGCTGTAAGTGTATTCTAAGACGTTAGCTCGCCCAAGTTAATCAGTGATAATATGAGCAGTGACTAGTTTACCAGGTTATTTAACCTAGCAATTGCCAGGTTAATTTGCAAACCGGGCTGGGAAGAGGGTGCTGGTATTGTATTCTTACTTAGGTTGCTTGTAGCATAGGAAACCTGACCCCTGTATTTTGGCTCTTTTTCAAAAAGTTCTAATATGGTACATGAGCTGCGCTGCTCTTTAAGCCATGACCATAAATAGACACAGTGCTTTATTTGCAATGGAGATCAGTGATAAGCTTCCCTGCGCAGAAGCCACACAAAAGACACTTGTTAGGAAAATAAATGCTGATTAATAAAACAACGTCACTCTCTTGCGGCTGGAGGAAAAACAACAGGCAGAGGCCATTTTTTCCCCCCCAGGGCTGAGAAAGACATCACATGGCAGTGAGTGATCTGGTTAGAACGGCTCCTCGCAGCTGTTTATGAGGTGCTCAAGAGACACAGACGAAGAATAAGTTGACATCTATTGTGCACTTTATAGTCTGAATGTCTTTTGTATTGGCAATAGCCCGCTCCGGGACATAAATTGATGCGGGCAGGAAAGGCCAGGTCTTTTAGAAACAAATATTTAATCCCCTAATCTGTTATGGGTGGCCAGCTCTAAAAGGTAAACACTCCTTGTGGGTGAATGTATTAGATGCTGGTGCCATCTTGTGGAATGCAGACCGAAGAGAAAAGAATTGAGCCTTTTTCTCCCCTCCTTCACATATTCTTGGGAAAGAGTTTATATGCAGGTGGGCTATAGTAAGTTGCAGAGAGGGCTGCCCCTATTAACCATTAAGCAAAATAAGCACATGCTTAGGGCACCAAGGGTAGGGAAGCCCCATTGAGATCTTTTCTCCAGCTATCATGGCTTTAACTCTTTCATTGCCGCAGTTGACCTTCGTTTCCAATAAACGTTTCTATTTGCATTTTCCTTCATAACGGTTTTATTAAACATTGCATAAAAAGAGTTGAAGATTTGCACCTTTTTATGGCCCTACATATAAGTAAATAATATGCTTGCTGCTATTTTGTATTAAACAATTTTTCCCCAAAAAACCCACCACTCAATATTTACTTTAGTAGTGGAGTCCAGCTTGAGAGATAGCCTGGAAGATAACTAAAAATTTAATCTGTTATTTCATCTTTAGCAGTAACTGAGTCTTCATGTATTGTCAATTAAGCTATGGAAGGACCATTGTTGGACTGTGCTTAGGGCATCAATTGGCCTTAATCAATTGGCCCAGGGAAGGAGGGAGGCTTTGAAGGGCAATATAACATCCTGGTGGAAAAGAAGTATGATATTGATTGTCATATCTAGCTGAATTCACTATTTGTAAACACTGCATTAACTTTTTTTCAAGAAAGAATCTCCATTGTGATGCTTACTTGAAAACTGCTTTTACAGAATCTTATTCCTTAATAAGTGACAGGTGTCAGCTTTAAAATGTTTTTGCTCATGATAACACTTTAACAAATCCAGAGGATGGGTCTTCCCTCAAGAAGGAAGAGAATGGTGTCTGTGGACTATCTGCTAAAAATACCTTTGTTTCCAATAGATTTTGTAAAGGATATAAAAATGAGAAGTTCTGAATGCATGATGAACATTATTCGGTAATATTCTTGGGGAAGATTATAGAGAAGGATAAGATAGAAGTGAAAGAAAACAGTGAAAATGGAACAATTGCAGAGATTTAAATCCTGTGTCAAAAAGTATTAGAGGATACATTTTTCAACAGAACAAAGGTAAAGTGGACTTAAGGATAGGAGATATATAAGCTGCTTCAATGTGTTACACGGAATCACAAAAGTGTGTGGATTTAACTAGAATTAAAGAGAATGTTTGATTGAATGAAGTGAAAAACCCGTGGTTGAGTGAAAAAAAAAATGCTTATATTGGAACTGTATTTGAAAACTATGAGGATGAAAACAAATTTTATGCTTACATTTAAATTTATTTATATTTATATGGCTGCCCATCGCATCATATTATGTATATACAGAAATAGTTAGTTGCAATTAATATGTCAATGAGAGCAAGCAAGAGTCGTTTGCTCTGTTTTTCCCTCCCATCCAAGTCTGGAACCATCAGATGCTTTTCCTGATCCTTCCTTCTGTCTGAGGACAGCTGGAGTTTGACCCTTCTGTTTTCACTCTGTCTTTGGATCTGGCAAAACTACCCTCGGTCAATCCTTGTTACCTTTCCTTCTTCCTGACAAGAACAGCAAAAAGGAAGGTAATCCCATTTCTTTTCCTTTTTTATCAACAAGAATTTTCCATAATTTCCTTAGCTATGCAAGGGAGCCTCTTTCACATACTGTGGTCTTCAAAAAAGTCACTTTCTTCCTCAGAGCCAGAATTGCTGACTGGCAATTTTGACTTGGGAGGGGATCCCAAATTTGTATTTCATCTGCCACCTCCCAGATAGAAAATCTTCTCTGTGTCTCTCTCTCTCTCTCTCTTTGTGTCTCTCTCTCTGTCTCTCTGTCTCTCTCATCATCTTTATCATCTATCATATCTATCATTATCATTATCATCTATCTATATCTATTTATCAATCTGTCTATCATCATGAAACTGTATCAATAGGGCACTGCTGAACACATATCCTTCTTTTTAAAAAAAATATTGAGCTTTAAAAATGGTCTGCTATGTGACATGAAAGTTAAATGACACATTCTCAGTTTCCTTATGTAGCCTGAGGAAAAAGTGATTTTTCAATTGCAAAGAAGTGCCTTGGAAAAAGAAGGTGTGGCACCTGCAAGAGTTTCAGCCCCCCCCCCCACAGAGAGAGGGGGGGGCTGCAGTGGATCACCTGAAACAAGGAATGGCTGTGCTTTTCTTGTGCTAAAAAAATTGCATTTAAAAAAAAAAAGCCTAAAGGTGGTAGCTGTCTGCCAGTATTGTGCAGCTATTTCTTTACGTGTCAGCAAATACTGCTATTTTTTTCCCCTGACCCAGTTCTAAAGAGCTCACTGGTTAATGAAACAAAAGAAGG